AAGGCCAAATAAAGTGCTTTTGCTTTCGCACTGAAATACACAGCGTCTCCCTGACATGGCTGCATCAACACTACTGCGTTCCTGAAACCAGCGGGGCCTCCCCCACCCGGTCCGTTCTCGATCGCGTTGGGGGGGGTACGTTCGCCGCAGGGCCCCCTCAAGCTCGGGGCCCGGTGCAACCGCACCAGTTGCACCCCCCTAAGGACGGCCCTGGCTATGTGTTCTCTCACTGTTGTGTTAATGAAGTGTTTCCTCTGTTGCATCTCTCTAGGTCAGAGTTCGGCTATCGGCTCTCCGGTATTGGTGCCCTTCTCTCGCTGGAGCTCAGAGCCGAGTCTAGCTCACTGTAGTCCGGATTCATGCCCTCACTCCAGCCCCTCCACGGCCCAGTCGTTAGCATTATCCGCGCTCCCGCATCGCACACCCTCTTTGTTTCCAGACCGCCCCGTTCCCGTCCCCCTGCACCGGAGCGAGTCGGTGGGCCGCAGAAACCTGCTCCGCCACCCCAACCCACTGCCGCCCCTACTGCCCAACCAGGACTCTGACTACGAACTGGAGCCACCCGACAGGGGGCGCAAGAGAGCCATCGACAACCAGTACATGTTCTTCTGACAGAGACAGAGGATGAAAAAGAATAAAGAAGCCGCAGATGAAAAATGCTCCAGAATTCCCGGCCGGATCGAGAGCATCCGGCAGCCAAACGGAGAAAAGAGTTGGAGTCGTGCGAGATTACGCACGAGACTCGGGGTGGAGGCACCTGCACGTGAACGATACAGCCGGACACCTGACACCCAGCCCTGCCAGCTGTCTACCTTGTGAATGTATTATACAGATGTTTCACTATCAGATCGGTGTGTATTGTAGAATAGCTCAGAGGCGTTGTTGGATGGGAACGTTTGGCGATGGCTGGTCAGTAAGTTGAACACAAACCAAGGGTCGAGTCAAACACGTCCGTGTCTACACTGGAAACGGACATCGCGACAACTTGAGGCCGTCTACACTGGATACATTCACAATCAGCTGTAAGCTCAAGTCTAGAGTTTAGTAATCAACGATTACTAAAACGACAATAAAATCAGTTTGTCGATCAGACAAAAAAAATTGTTATTTTCGACCGAAATACAGTATAAAATTGATTTTGCATGTGATTAATTTGATAACTAATTTTTACGATCGTATTCCTACAACTGCATATTCTTATAGTAGAAATAACAAAATTATTAAAATTAGCATGTCAGACCAGAAGGCTAGACTTTAGCGATTATTAAAATCACGTCAAAATCCTTTGAATAAAAAGCGTTATTTTCCACAGAAATACATTATGAAATTGATTTTGCATGTGATTAACTATATCATTAATTTTACATATGGTTATATTCCTACAACTGCATATGCATATTGTTAGAAAACAAAATCTGTAAAATTAGTATGCCAGACCAGAAGGCTAAACTTCAGAGATTGGAAAAATGACAATAAAATCAGTTGAAAAAGAAATCATCATTTTCATCAGAAATCCATTACAAAATTGATTTTGCATGTGATAATTTTATAATTATTTTTAAGTATGTTAGTACTCCTACAACTGCATATGCGTATAGTTAGAAACCAAAAATGTTTCAAGTATACCAGACTAGAAGGCTAAGCTTCAGCAATTAAGAAAAATAACAATATAATCGGTAGTAATAATCGGTAATAGTCGGGAAAATAAATCTTTATTTTTAACACAAAATTATTATTATGAATAATTTTATAATCAATATTAATTATGTTAGTATTCCTACAACTGCATATGTATATGGATAAAAATGTTAAAAAATGATTCAAATTATTATGTCAGACCAGAAACATCATGAGCTGGCTTTGATATAAGGGTCAGAAGTTATTTAAACCTGTAAAGAATACAATTTATACAAATTTTTTAATAAAATCACTTCATTTTAGATGTGTCTGGAGTCAGAAATTGAGAAATGGGGCGTCCACATCAGGTGCTCACAGTGTAGACCGCTCCGGAGTCATTTAGTTTTGTCGCAGGTGTCCGGTGTATATACGGTGGTAAACATCCAAAAGATTCAAATAGTTTTCAGTCTGCCTGCACACACACACACGCACACACTTTCAGATTGTTTATTTCATGTTCAGTTGTAGTAATACACAGGTTTCTTTATGTTTTGCGTAGTAAAAAAAACAAATAATATAGATCGTAGAACCACAGTTTTACGTCAACACAGCAAGTCTTGTCATCTTGGATTCTAGAGGTTTACAGTTTCATCTGACCAAAGAGCAAAATTAACCAAACCAGACCGGCAATACGTTTTGTTATGCCTCAATCATCATATTTTATAATGAATTTGTTTTACCCTGTGACTTCTTTCTTTCTATCTGTTTTAACACATTTTAATACTAGTGGAAATACTACTTTTAAACTAACAGCAACCAAATCTGACACCATAAATAGTTGATTTTAAGCTATTTGTCCATTGTTTTTCAGTAAGCGTATTACAAAAAAAAACATTGCTTGATGTTTTCGGAGCTTGTTCTCATTTGTGTCTCTTTTTGAATCATTGTGAATGTCTATATTTGTGGCTTAACACTACCACAATAATCAAATCTGTATCAAGCGCACATACCCAACTTTATATCTCATTCATACATAATTTGGCGAATCTCACATTTCACCCTTAAAGGAACACTCCACTATTTTTGAAAATAGGCTCATTTTCCAACTCCCCTTGAGTTAAACAGTTGAGTTTTACCGTTTTCGAATCCATTCAGCCGATCTCCGGGTCTGGCGGTAGCACTTTT